CGCCCACCCCGCAGGCGTCGTTCTTCCGGAGATGATGGGACGCCGCCCGCCGCCTGGCCGCCGGCGCCGCCGCCTGCCCTCACTGGCGCCGCGGCCAGGCCGGCCCGGCGCGCCCCCTGCGGCGTGGTTGTCCTTTGGGCTGGTGGGGCCGCCCACTTCAGCATCGCGCGCAACCCCCCTTGCCCTGCCTTGGCCCCTTGATTCGTCCGCCTTTGTCCACCACCAGGTGGTCCGCCCTCATCCCGAGCCTCCTGCCCCCCTGCCAGCCCCCATCCCCCCTCCAATACAATACACGACAGCGATGGATACACTGGAACGCACAGGTCTCAGCAGCGGGCGCACCGCACCCGGCGACCCAGCACCGGGGCGCTGCCCGCCGCCCCGCACACGCACTGCTGTACCCTGCACTGCCTCGCCGCAGCGGCGCTCTGGCTCCTGTGCCTCGCGCGCTGTTGTATGTTTTCAATGTGCCCAAATAGTGTAGCGCCCTCAGGGATGCCATGTTTCTGCGCAACCCTGTGGACTGCGCCGGCCCCTCGCCTGCGCCGCCTGGCCGTGCCGACAAACGACAGGCAGAGCGCATCCCAACCCGCGATTCCGCCCGCCGGCTGAATACACAGCTGGCCTGCGGCGGCGGTGGAGGGCTTGGGATCGTGCATGGCCTGTTTGTGCAGCCTGCAACACATTCAATGGCTCAGGAGAGACGCGTGCCCATCGCTTTTCCACACTGCGCCTCCTCAGTAAGAATGGCTGCCTTGCGCATACCCTGCTTGCATGGTGCCCGAGGCAGGCAGCAGGACGCGCATGCGCATGCACGTGTAACCACACTCAGAGCAGTACCGCGGCACTACTCAACATTCGCTGGATTTGCATAAGGGGCGTCGCTCCTGCGATACGTTCGAATTGGGATGGAACATGCGCAATGGAGACTTGATGGTGCAGTGTGAGGATGGCACTGCTGCGGCTGTGAGGCAAGCGGTGTGGTGAAACATCCGGTAGCATGGTGAAGCACCCAGCAGTGGCGGCGCGTGTCTGGTGAAGCGCTTGCGTTCGAATCGTGTCAGCTCTGACGGCTGGTGCGCGAGCTGTGGGCACAGTGTGAGAGGCAGTGCGAGTGTACCGCCCGCCGCCAGACCCCCCTGGCCGGTGGGCACTGTGCAGCTGCATCAAACGTATGTTGTGCAACTTAAATTGAAGCGTGGTGTTGGGCAATGTCTTGGCCCACCACGCTGTGCCCTTCCTGCTTAGTGCCATCGTCTCAAAGCACCATACTCTTGAGTGGGTCTACAGTAGATCACATTGAAACAACTTGTAGATCACGCACAAGCAACGGTCTGCAGTGCTCTGTAGAGGATTTGATACGAGGGCTTTTGGACGTGTGATACCGCGTAGATTTCAGCGCCTGCAGCGATCAGTATCCATCGTGCGCAGTCCCCGGGAGCGCGGAGTCGCATCATTGCAGCTGTAGGCCTCAACAAGGAACATAATAAGCAGCTGGTACCCTGGACGATTCGACTTCAGGAGCCTGCCTAGGCCACAGCGCACGACGCTACCGCAGCTGCTGCAACGGGCAACGATGGGGGCAGACAGCGGGCCCAGCAGCGGCAAGGCCAAATCCATAGCCACTTTCAACAACGTCGTCATCACTGGTGCGCACGTGTGCATTCACGCGTCCAGGCGGCGCGTGTGTGCTCATTGACGCATATGGGGGCCGCCGTCACGGAACAGCGGGTTCCCCTGAGCTGCACGGGTGGCCAGGCCCACGAATAGTTTTGTGACGAAGAAGCTCCTGCCGCTGCCCAGCACCTCATGCGCTCCACTGACTTGCCTCAACCTCTCATACCCGTGCAACCTGTGCAGTGGGCGACAGCGTGCAGGTCAACCCTGACACTCCAGAGGGCCTGCCCTACGTGAGCCCCAGCCACCCCAGCGCCCCCGCAGCCGAAACCGGGGCAGCCGCAGTCATGCGCAGAGCAGCATGCATCTGTGCGTCCAGCTGGCCGCCCTAGAGCTGCTGTGACTGAGCATACGCACCCATTGTTGTGTGGTGTATGGACGAACGACTCAAGCCCGCCTCACCCACTCACCTGCTGTCCCTGCATTTCGTGACAATGCACCCTGACAGATTGCGTGGGTGAAGGACATCCTAGATGGCAAGGGCGAGGACGGCGAGGCGGCGCTGCAGGTGCGGTCAGCGGCAACAAAAGGAGCTGGGGCGGCAGCAGGCCGCAGCAAGCAGAAGCAGCGTGCGGTTTGTGAATCCGGGCCACCCAACGCGGCAGCTGTCGCGACCCCGTTCAAGCGCTCCGCCACCTGGCAACCGCAGCCAGTTTCGGCGGCGGCGCGACGCGTGATCGTCGGCAGCGGAACAGCCGTGACCAGCCGCAGACTGCGCACTGTTGGTGTTCTACTGTTTGCGCTGCTGCTGCTGCTGCTGCTGCTGCTGCTGCTGCTGCTGCTGCTGCTGCTGCTGCTGCTGCTGCTGCTGCTGCTGCTGCTGCTGCTGCTGCTGCTGCTGCTGCTGCCACCCGACCCATATGTGCGTCCTCCCCTCCCCCCACACACTCATGCACGCACACATGCACACATGCACACACACACACACACACACATTATCCAAGCTCCTTTTGTCCCTTCTGCTCCACCTCGCCAGCCATCGCACCGCCATCATGGAACCCTCCGTCACAATCCCTGCCACCCCCAGGTGGTGTGGTACTACCGGCCAGAGGAGGCCGTGGGGGGACGCAAGGTGCGGGGTGCTGCGAGGGGGGACAGGGGGGTTGCCGCGTGCAAGAGCTGGGCTGGCCCCCAACAACAGCGGCCGCGGTGATCGGAGGCCTCTGTGTCTTAGGTAGTTGTGAGGTGCTGTGTACATAGGGGGGCTGGCACCAGGGGAAGGACTGGATGAGTACAACCCGCCAGCTGGCATCGTGTGTCTAGGTACGCTTGCACACCTGCAAGCTGCACACGCCAACAAACACACACTCTGTCTCTCTCTTTCAGTGTCTTTCTCACACACATACACACACTTGTGTGGTCATACACGCGCGCACAAGACATCAAAACACCCGCATGCCGTCACAACGCCGCGCACCGCAGGCGTTCCATGGCGCCAAGGAGCTGTTCCTGTCGGACCACACAGACTCGTGCAGCGTGGCCACAGTCATCGGCAAGTGCAGGGTGCTCACACTCAAAGAGTTCCAGGTGGGGCCTCGGGCCATATGCGGCGCGGGCCATGAGCCGCGCGGACGCAGTGGTGTGCATGTGCGCTCGCAAATGCATGCCATTGCTTGCGTGGTGGGCGCGCGATGACACGTGTGTGAGCCTGTGCGAGTGCGTGCGCCCTGCTTCTTGTACGGCGCTGTCTGCGCCTGCAGCCTCTGATGCCCTCTGCACTGCCAGGCCCGCTGGAGCCTCGGGTCCAGCCGCACCCGCATCCTGTCATCGCTTTGTGGCCCCGACCGCCCCCGGCC